CCCAGCCCCTGTGGGGCTGAACTGAGCCCAGCCACCAATATATATGCTGGGCTGGGTTAGCCCAGCCCAGCCCAAGTGGGCCGGGCCCAGCCCGAAAATAGAAAAAATAAAAATAAAAAATAAAAAATAAAAAAATAAAAAAGAAATAAAGAAAAAGAAATAAAATATTTCAAAATAAAAAAATAAAAAATAAAAAAATATAGGCATGAATAAAAAAATAATGTAAATTTATTAGTTTATTCACTGGCGCCAGAGTCAGGAATAAAAATACCGGTTTAAATTTATATTATTTTTTATTCGTTGTTTTATTTTATTTAGCTAGAAAAAATAAAAAAAATATGCACATGCATAAAAAATAAATTTATTTTTTTCATTTGTTCACTGACGCCAGAGTCGGGAATAAAAATACTGATTTAAATTATTTTTTTGTGATGCGTAAAAATAATTTTATTTGATGCATAAAAATAAATTTATTTGATTTGTTTATTCACTGACGCCAGAGTCAGGAATAAAAAAAAATAACTAATTTAAATTTATTTTATTTTTATAGCTATGTGATATTTACCAGCGCCAGAGTTGGAAATATCTGTAGTTAAATATTCACTGACGCGAGAGTCGGGAATAAAAAAAATAACTAATTTAAATTTATTTTATTTTTATAGCTATGTGATATTTACCAGCGCCAGAGTTGGAAATATCTGTAGTTAAATATTCACTGACGCCAGAGTCAGGAATATTACACGCAAAACCATCATAGTATAAACCAAAGAAAAAAAAATGTTAGCAGAGTCGGAAATAAAAAAATAACTGATTTAAATTTATTTTATTTTTATAGCTACGTGATATTTACCAGCGCCAGAGTTGGAAATATCTGTAGTTAAATATTCACTGACGCTAGAGTCAGAAATATTACACGCAAAACCATCATAGTATAAACCAAACAAAAAAAAATGTTAGCAATTAAGGATAAAGATCAGCAATACAGTCTGCCTTAGGTAGGACGTTTAAGGGGTGATAATATCTTCCTTTTTACGTAACCAGTCTCGGACCATTAGAATCTCTGTTGACCAGTTAGGGTTCCTAGTAACCATAATACTAGGTGGCGACTCCTTAAACAAAGAATATCCTCATTAAAGAACAGGATGCCAGAAATCCGTTCTTCCATTCCATTAAGGCCGCCGCGATGTCCGGGTGCGACAGAATGGCGACTCCACTAGGGACTTTAGGACTAAGCTTTGCTATTTGTCTTTTTTTATTGCTAAACAGTTTTTGTCGTACCGTTTTTTCTTCCTTGTTGTGGTTATGTTGAGTTTATCATGTTTTATTTGTTTTTGCTCTTTTTTATTGTTTTATCATGCATAGTTATTCATGTTTATCATGCATATATATTGGATATGAATCTAAGGTCTTCATGCATCACTTATCTCATTTTTTACATGTGGTATCAACTTTAAGATAAGTGGAGGAGTAACGGCACCCCAATGGCTTTAGCCTGGGTAAGGCTCGCGAAACTATCCAACTCTCGCATGATTGTTTGCTCGATAGTGGTTGATATGCCGAACTAATATTACTCAGGGCCTTTATCTTCACGCTGCTTGTAAACCTCACATCAACCTTTCAAGGGCGATCACTGAGCATGCGAAAGACCTTTGAGACTAGATAGCAAAATTACCCTGAAGCATTTAATGATTAGAACCTATCCTTTAGGTTAATCCCTGCATAACTTTATTGAGATAAAGCTTAAACATGTAAGCATCATTATTACAAGGCTTTTGGGTGACATAATGACCGTTATTCCTAAGACAGCAATTATTGAGCATAGACTCAAGTCTAAATTCTTGCAAATGACCGAGGGAGATTGCTTTAGACTGGATGTCGGTGAGATACCGTTACTCAAAGACATTAAATGCTTAGTGAAAGACACCAAGAATGTGGCTGAAAGCTCAGATGACAAAAAGCTAAACAGATCTCCTCTTGGCATTGCAATGAATATCGGATTCGAATCTGACCACACATTTAAAGAATAGCGATCGTTATGTCACCCCCTAAAAGGAAAATCCATACCCAATATGTTGTGTTCATCTTCATGCATGTTTGAACATATAATTATGACCTGTCATAATACTGCACTCCAGGTGAAATATAGGTCCCCCATTGAAACACACTTATAATACTTGACTGCGAAAAAAAATGGAAAACGAAGAAAAAGCCTAGTTGGAAGACTAACACCGAAAAGAGACGGAAAGTCTTAGAGAAGAAG